CTGCCTGCTGATCAGTGAATTAGTTCTGGCAAGCAAATGTGGTTTTGCTGTTTTGGCGGGTGTCTTTGCATGGTGCATCAACTCCATTTTTCATCCATTTTCCATCCATTTTTCTTCTTTAAGGATTTCTTAAGATAAAAAGCAGACCTGACTCTGGAAAAGGTGTCTTTGGTACCTTTGGGTTGTCTGGATGTTCTATTATGCATCATTTTCTTTGGGGGCAGTGGTTTTGTGAAAGAAGTTTGAAGAGCAGCAGGTTTTCTGTCCCAGGCAGTAACTAGGGTAAGTTGTACCTGGGAATTGTGCTTTAAAATTGCCATTGAGCATCTGACTGAGATGCCTGAAAGAATGGATTGACTGCAGACTGTGACAGCTGGACTTGGGGTGTGTGTGTCTGTGGACATATGCCCAGTGAGGTTATATCTGTGTTCTCCTGCAGACTTGAAAGGTCCAGAACATCTGCTGCTATTTGGCAGAGCTGACTCTCGCGTTACTGTGGGACACTGGTATGGGAAGAAGGGACAGAGCTGCTTATTACTAACTGATAAATTAGTGGTATTCCACAGCCTGTGCTGTTAATGCTGAACTCAATGATGTATTTAAAAATTGCCTGCAAGTAGTCCTCTTCTAATCAATATTCTTAGCTTGTTGTCTTTCAAAGTGCTTTTTCAAGTATGCTGGGATTCAGAAGAAAATCCATGTGCATCCATCCGGGGGAAGCTTTTCCATCTCAGCTCAGTTATTCCACACTTCTCCTCTAGCAGGAAGTTTGGGGGTGGCACATGTTAGCATATCCTGGAAACAGCTTTTCCCAAATGATGTTCAGAATCCCCCTTTTGTGTGGCTCTGTGCCACGTGCTCTAGGTGATCTTACCTGAACAGGGGGGTTGGACTAGATGATCTCTCCAGGTCCCTTCCAACCTCAACCCTTCTGAGATTGTGTAGTGTCTGAGATTAGAGAATACTTAATATATATGAGGGCAAATAATACACAAGTTTGCAGGAAACATCTTTGTTCATCCCAATGTTGTAAATAGGCATTTATTCTCATCTCCTCCCCCCTCACCTTCAGCAGGTTTCTTGCAGTTTGTTACAGGTTTGGCTGTATGGGGGTAATTTGCAGTATGTGTCTCTATTTTTCATTGAACTAGTTCACTCACTGAAGCTGTGGTGCTGTGAAGCAGTGTTGCAGGCATTGTGCATTAGGGGAACGTGCTTATTCTGAAGGACAGTTAATTCTGCCTTGCTTCGTGCATTTGCCTGCTTGCTGTGCCTATGTGCGAGTTCTTTGTAAGGAAGTGCAGTTCCCCGAAATCTGACAGCACGATTGCTAGCTGAGGTCTCCAGTATCGAATTGAGGATGCAGTCCTTGTGCCCTGCAAGTTGGTGGCTGCTGTATTTTTGCCCACATGCGTGTAGGTGGCACTGTTGAGCTGTGCACAGTGCCTGTACCCAAAAGGTGGCTTTCTAGCAGTTTCTGAGACATTGCACATTCAGAGTCTTTGCAAGTGCTGTTTTCATGCAGCGTGGATTTTTGCTTGGTCTGGGTATCTGCACCTCTCATAGCTCACCTGTCATAATGACTGTCACAGCAAAGGTCCTGTAAATTAGTCCCAGGATGTTACCGTCCTCCAAATCATTTGATTTGCCTCAGCGCAAGGTGCCTAGTAAGTACTGATACATTTAAGGTGGGAATTTGGGGAGGAAGAGCATTAATGCTTGTGAGGGTTCATTTGTGAAAACAGATTGAACAGGAGGTAATTAAATTAAGTTGATGCAGCAAGGTAGAATGTGGAGCTTGCCGAAAGCATTGGCTTCGTTTTGCTTATATGGGAATGCAAAAAGCTAGGGCTGCCTATGCAGAAAGTTATTCCCAGCAAGGACAGAGTAACTCCAGGGAGGTAATTGCAGTGGGGAACCCAAACACTCTTCAGTGTGGGGAAAAGGAGAGAACCAGAATGTGTGGAAGAATTATTTAGCCGAAAAGTAACTCTTCAGTATTTGGTCAGACTCAGAGTTGATGTTGCTGTTTTTCGGGCTGGATGTAGACTAACATGTTTTTTCCTCTATTTTCTTTCAGTGTTCAGGACAAGACTGGATTACTAGATCTTGTAGCCGTCCCTATCTACATTCCCGAAGTAACAATTGGAGGCACGGAGTTTGATAAAATCTATCATGAGTATCGATCGGTAAGTAATCTTGGAAGAGGAGCAGTTGGACAGTAACTGTACAATTTTGCCTACAAAGGTGTGAGCATATTTAGACCTGTCCTATGCACGGCCTGGGTGCTAATCCCATGCACATAGGTGCATGTTTTTAAGAGTGAATTCTGGATTTGGATCCCCACCTTTTATGAAGTCCAGCTTCCACATAAGAGGAATAATGAAGCAAATTGTTTGTTTTGTAAGCTGATTTTCTTCTTTTTGATCTTCAGATGTGGACTAAAGGATAAGTGCTTTTCATTTGTTTTTGTTTTTCCTGCCCCGATTAGTCTCTGACCTCTGAAATCTAAAATAATCCTTTGAGTCAAAGAAGAAAATTAGAAACCCGTGGAGACTTCTAAAAAGAAGACTGCTTATAAAACTCTTCAGGAGGGGGGTGTTTTTCTGAAGCAGGCTGAGGAGATATGAGCATTACACTGGCTCTCAGAAGAGTTGCTGCTTTAAATAGTATGTTTCTGTTAGTGGGCACACATCCAAAGCCTGTTGTGGCCCAGCGCTTTCTTACACCTCATGCAGGCTCCCACACAATGTTTTAATTAGCTGCTTGCCTTTCTGCTTCTGGAGACAAGGGCTTCAAATGGACTTAGTCCTTAGTCCTATCAGGTGTTACTTGGCTGGCAAGGGATCCTGTCGCACCCTGCAGTGTTTTTCTGAGGCCCAAGTACTGTAAATTCTCATTAGGGAAGTTGTGGAACTGATGACAGTTGTTATTGTTTGGACAAACTTTAAATTGCAAGGCAGAGAATGTTTTCTACTTTCTTAAATCTTCTCTGCCACTGCATTTTTTCAAGCAATTCCTGAAGATGAAGGAATATATGTGGAAATTGTTACCAACAGTGATCTGCATAAGGAAAATACTGTCATGTTCTGCTCCTGTTAGTAGAATTATAATGTGAGGTGTAGTTTTGGTGGGCTTGTTTGGATGCTCTGAATTAGCAAATGCTATCTTGAATAGCCAGTTCTGAATTTCCAGTAATTATTTGGCATAATCTATTCCTCTTCAGGTAGCTGTGCAGTGCAGAGACTCTCTGAGTTCGTGCTGTTCTGCCTCATTTAGGTTGTGTAAGAAGGTGTTTTTGCCCTTCGTGGAAGGGGCTAAAGCTAAGGGTTAAGGCAGCAGAAAGCTTGTCAGTATTATTAGAGTTTATCTAATAGCTTTGAAAGCTACTTGGCTCATCCAAGGAATTGCTACCAGAATTTATGCTCCGTGGTTTAAATCAGAAGCTTCAGGCTCAGACTAAGAACATCGGAGCCCTTCGCTCCGCAAGACGCCTCTGTGCTGCAGCACGTGTGTCAGGATGATCTGCTGCATGACCTGCCACCAGCGTGCAGCATCCGTCTCTACTAACTGTGCCTTTCTTCTTGAAGATGATAGGCCTTTTTTTGATGGAAATGCCACTTTGCAGTGGAGCAGGGAATTGTTGAGGCCGCCCGACACACAGCTAGACGTGACCTCCGTGCTGGGTACTAGTTCTGAGAGCCTTTTCTGACCGTACGATGGGACGTTCCTCTGTGCTGGAAAGAAACTGAGGATGCTGGATCATAGGAAAGCTGGCTTCCAGGAGAAACGGGCTTGCCTTGCACATGCAGAGCAGGCTTGCTCAGCCATAGGAACATGAATACCTGGGAAGGGGAATGGTGATTGTGGGTTACTCTGGTGACTGTTAGTTGACAGCTGAAGCTGAGTATTACCCATAGCGGGGGGGAAACACCCTGCTCTTCCAAAATATAATCTCCTTTTTGCAGGCATGCTTTTATGGCCTCATTCAGGAAAATACCATGCAAAGTGCTAGTGTCTCTTGGAATAAGAAGGGATTGTGTGCGCTTCATGAAGGGTTCTGTTAAAGCAGTGCAGCTAGGATCGTCTCAAATTTTTGCTTTCCTGAATGCTTAAATACTTGAACCCTTCAAGTGTCTGTTGGAGCCACTGTTTAGAAGGCATCTTGCCAGGTAGATCTGCCTGGTCTCTTTTCTTTTCTCATCCTTCTGTAAATGCAGTGACCTGCAATCCTCTCTTTTCTCATTTACTTTTTTTATTTTTAATTTGAAAGCAATCTGTTACTGAATAGCTTCCGTTCAGCCTTTCCCTGTTTCATGGATGTGAGTACCGGAGAACCATCTCCTGAAGCCAGTCATTTATTGCTTACTATGAAACAGTGCCGTGGGAGAAGTGTTGTCATGGGGCAGGTAGGAGATCCTCCACTTGTGAGAGAGCTGCAAGGCCCCATGCGTGGTGGTCTCTGCCTTTTGTATAAAATTCCACAGGGACGGGTCGTCACCTAAAAATAAAATGAGTTTTCTCTCTTTAGCCTTTGTAGTCAAGGTTCAGGCACGGCGAGGTGGAGATGATCAGAAGATTTAATTGCACAGAGGCACTGAGCAGCTGGGATGCTTTGCTCCTGGCCTCAGGAAGGATCTTTTAAACTTTGTCAGTAAGTCTGTGCAGGGTTGTGCTCAGTGCAAGCAATGCTGAAATTTCCTACCTCTCATAAGCTACTGAAGACAAGAAAGCTACAAGCAAAGAAAGCACGAAAGCAGCTCCACCTACCTTTTTGTGTTCTGAGATTAAGTTCCTTGTGTTGAGATCTTCATTTTTCCCCCCAGTTCTGTTCAGCAAATGACAGTATGAGGGCCTGTGTTCAGGGGTAATTAGATCAACCAGTATGAGCAGAGGTCAATGATCATTTAGACACAAAGGTCTTGACTGTGAGGTTGCTCAGTCTGATGAGGGTGGATTTCAGCCTCTGAAACTTTGCCTTGTCGATGTCTTGGGTCCAGACAGATACAGCTATACTTTTGCTCTTGCATTTGCAGGCAGATAAAGACTTTAGGCTCACATGACTTGTAATTAAAGACTTAATTATGGTGTAATTACATGACTTTAGCATTTCCGTGTGGGAAATGCATGCTTTTAAAGTTGGTATAATAAATGTTTGCGAAGTAAATTCAGTGGTTTGTGTAGGGGATTTTTTGTCCTCAGCAATCCTATAACCAGGCAGAAATCCTTGATCAAACAAGTAGACAGCAGCCCCTGTGCTTTTCAGAGTTGCGTGCAAGCAGCTCATGCTGCCCAATGCTGCTGTTGCCCCTGTAGCTCTCGGGGGTTCTCAGATCCCAGACAGAAGCTGTGTTTTATTCAAATGTTTCATTAGTCACAAGCAACTGGAGAGGAAGAGGAAATGCTTCCAGAGATCAAGACTTTTGGTGCATTCATGTTTATTTAAAATCATGAGGTAGACACATAGAGCTTGAGGTCTGTGACTTTTTTTTTTCCATGTATTCCTTACATTTCTCCAGTAGATACTCTTCACTTGTGAGGAGGTGGGTTTTGTTTCCTCTCACTGTAAAATCATCTGGCTGTGTTGGGCAGTTTGTTCAGGCATTCAGAAACTTCTAAAGATGCTTTTCTGTCAAGGGAGAAGTAGCCTTTGAGTCAAGTTCTGTAGATCTCAGAGATAAGTGTGTTCATTCTTAAATGAAGTAACATTATTTTTAGGAACTATCAGACTAGTAAAGACTTGACTATTCTCTCTCTCTCTCTCTCTCTTTTAACAACTGCTCTATCTTTGTGCTTTCTTCCAACCACACACAATTCCAGCAGATAATGCTCCAAATTCTTTGTGCTCGCTGTGAAGCTGGAGCACTTAAGTAGATGTGTTTGCAGAGAAAAAGAAAACAAATGGTTCTGTTTAAGAGAATCAGTGTACTTAAATAATGTACTTATGTACTTCACACTCCCCAATGAGGCTGGCAGGTTCTGCTCAAGTCTCTTAGGGAGGGTGAAGTAAGTTTTTTTTTTTTTTTTTTTTTTTTTTTTTTAACGTGCGGATTCTTTTCTGCATACCTAAAAATGCATCTGTCTGAGATTCTCATTCAAGCCATCACCTATCTCTTCACCTCTGAAAACTGAGCTAGAGAGCTTTAAAATACACTTTGGCACCTCTGCCCTCACTGCAGATAAGGGGAAATGATCAACACTTCTTTTGCACAAACTTTGCATTTCCAAAAACAAAAAGAGGGGGTAAATTACTGGGCTGCTTGCCACAGGATCTGCTGGAGTCTGAAGTCTAGTGCCTACTGGTGTTCCCTTGGGCATTAGAGTGGCAAAACCTTTGAGGTATGTTAGGGGTTTCTCTGCAGTACTTCTGTGAGCTAAAAGTGTGCAGCTTGGCCACGCTCGGGCCCCTAACTGCTCCAAGAAGCACTGTCACTGACAGCTGGAAACAAAACCCTTAAAGACACTTTTTTTTAATGTTACCACCTCTACAGAGGTGTGCATGTTACTGCACTCACTGGGATCCTGGGTTGTTTCTGCAGCCACCAGCTAACCTTGACATCTGTAAGCAGAAGTCGAAGAGATCTTGTAGTAAGACGGGGCTGGTTTTATGTTGCGTTAAACTTTACAGCCTGCATCTTATGCTCTGGGGCTTTTTTTGTGTGTGTTTTCCCAAGCCTTTCCCTGAGGATAAGATCAAACCACTGGAGAATTCTCGCTTTAGTTTGGTGGGATTCTTGAGGCCTGCGTGCTGGTTTGTATGCTGGAGAAAGCCAACAAATGTCTGGTTATGCAGCTCCCAGGCTATACACCTAGGACTTCCTTTTGTACCAGAGAAAGCCCATATCAAAATCTTGGATCTTTTGTTAGGCCAATTTGTTTAGTTAGCGGAAAA